TTTGTAATCGACGAAGGGAGCCGTTTTTCATTGGAACTTGGACCAATTGACTATTTAAAGTCACATTTTGTTGTAATTTCGGGAAATCACTAGTAATATTTTTAACTTTTGTTGGTATTACTGGTTCAATGTCGACTTTTGTATTTATTTTTCTTATTTTGAGAGATTACATAATTTTCCAAGTGTCTATTTATTCAAGAAGATATTTGAATACAAAAATTGGAATATTTTCGTTTACTTAATTAAAGATGACGAAATACTTTTTTCTCTATTATTTGTTATTCGAAATTCTTTATCTAGGTAATGAATTTGCCCATCTCTGCTCAAAATTAGATTTTTTTTGTAGGAGAAATTAAAACATAAATAATAGGAAAATAGTACACTAATGAAATAATCTGAAAATAGGAGTTTAATGTCGAATATAAAATTGAGCCTCATTGGCAAATCGACCGCCATTGCGACAGTCTTTGTCCAAGCAAAAAAAAAGAAATTCCGAATCACCGAGTGTCGAAACCTGGCAATTGCGAAATCAAGAACACTCGAGCTTTCACATATAATTAACATTTCGCTCGATCGGTCCGGTAATTCGTCAAAATTATCGGCTACTCGGGCTCCGAGGCAACAAACGGCCATGCGTGATCAGAAATCTAAATTACACGGGTGAAAAATCCCCGAGCCCCCATGGCTACGATTACCCGTAGACCGTCTTGTTCATCACGGTCGATCGACAAGGACAGAAAACACTGAACGCGAAGGTAGGAAAAAAATGAAGGAAAGAATGGGCAGGTTCGTATTTACAGCAGGAGCAGAGACACGGCATTAAGCAAACTACCTGAACGACACCTGGGATGACGTATTGCAGCCAAAGTGCCGAGTCTTTATATTTTATGAGTAGCACTACGGCTTCATAAATAGCCAGCGTCCCTTAACAACCCGAGAGCGGCCCTACGACGAAGACACGCGCCTCTCCACGCGTTAATCCCCACCCCGACGGCATCGACCGCGTGGTCTTCATTTTTACTACGTCGTCGCCCCACGGAACCCCGGCGGAACAACCATAAACAGAATTATTGCCGGCTGTTTGCGCGTGTTTTTCCAGGTACAGGTATATAACGAACGAGCGTGGCCCAGTGGAGCGTCGAGCCGAGAAGCCGTCGTGGAATTCCCATCCCCTTCCCGGACCCCTGCGACAATAGGCAGTAAAACTTTCACTCGCGACCACCCCTGCCTGATTTTTTCCGGAAATCTGTTACGCACCGACCTGGCCGCGGTGTTGAAGCCACGTTACCCTGGGGGGCCTTTTTGTCTGGACGTTACACGCTCGCGCACGGCGATTTCGTCGCATGGATATCTTGATATTACCAGCACTGTTTGGGGTATTTGGGTTTTTTGGTTTTTCGACGGCCAGAGGGGCGATCGGATGGCTCTGTAGGTCACGGACATTGCAAAGTGCAGGTCCAATGGTGAGGAATTTTCGAGTTTGAGTGCTCACGGAATCTGGAGTTTGCGAACTCAATTTTTATTCATTCTAATCGATATTTTCCATTTTAAGAAAATATACACTACAATGCTTGAAACCACTAGCCACACAATGTGACGGCAATGTAGAAAATTGAAGTAAGTGTGCAAGGTAGAATAAACGTGTAATGCAGAGGTCAGTTTGCGCAAATTATTTGAACGTGTAAACGGGCCTTATCGGGGAAAAAAATTAATAAGGCAATGGGTTCGAGTCTGCGACGTTCAGGTTTCGAAATTAGATTTCTCGATTTCTTTTGTCTCTGTACTTGCAATATTGTATACGCTTGAGTCGATTCCCATTTTTTTTATATTTATTAAAATGTACTGCATTCTGCTAATTTTGACATACAACGATATACGTAATATAATAATATTCGAGGAAATAGTTCAGTCGTTTTCATCTTGATCATTATTATCTAGGATCACGAGGCATCCAAAAACAATATCTGCCTCTGACCATCGTCACATCATTAAGATCTCCTGAACCTGGCAATACAATCTCCATACGTTATTCACCACCACTGTAACGACCATCCCCATAAATGGTGCCAAATCCCCAATCATCACGGGTGCAACATCTCACGTTCGTTATCGTCTTTAATGACACCGTCTCCGTTACCTTTCACAACGATTTATGTATCGTGCATATCTTCGACTCCCCTCCGCCAGAACTGGACAAAAGCACACGCTTTTTCCCCGCAACCGAGGAAAATTAAGTCAGTAGGTAAAATCATTTACGGTTAACGCGAAGCGCTCACATATATACCCAGGACCCCATCGTTCCTTCCCACAAGTATCGCCCTTTTGCGGATTATTATTTATTATCATGGTGGACGTTCCTCCCGTACTACACGCACGCAAGGCTACGTGCGTTGTTCTCCCTGGTATCGTTTGCGTCGTGTGTGTGAATGGACGTGTAGACGAGGGCCCACATCTACGTGCAGAAGAATCGACGCACGGTGTGTGCGTGCGGACGCGTGTCCATCCTGATCAGCCCGTCGGAGTCCCCGTAGGTTTTGGTCACCGCGTCGAACGGATCATCAATCACGTTTTTTCCGTTTCTTTTCGGGGTTACTTTACTATTTATAGTTTGTCCGCAAGGCCGTCCATTATCTTCGCCGAACGATAATTGTTTCGTACGCGCAGGGGCCTAACCGTGAGCCGATCATTAGCGTTCCCCGCGAGCAGACGATTGTGTCTTACTTGGGCTGGCTGACCGATTCGAACCGGGACACTCGATCTCGAAGGTGTTGATAATATTCTCGCGTTTGTAAATGGGAATTAATAAACGGAGGACGACGGGACCATTAATCTTTTCGTTAACGAAGGTGTGAAACAGTAGGGTTGAATTAGACGGTAATGTGGGAATTCCGTTTGGAATGTGTTCATTATAGTAGTCAAAGTGTTAACGTACAAGACCAGAAGTAAACGCATTTATTTAAGATTTATCCTTGAATAATATCCCTAATGGATGGAATATACTAATAATATATTAACGCAAGAGTAACATCATAAACTAACGATGATAATAATGTCATAAAATCAAGAACAGGTATAAGTACAAAAAAAAAGGGAAGAGGGAGTGAATAAGGAGGGCCAAAGAAAAGAATGTCTTTTACAAGAAATCGAAGTACTTGACAAGAAACTATTTTCGCCAAATAATATCTGTACTGTAATTTCATTTCTGTCACCTGTCGTTCAGCGTATATAATTGAAACAGTGACGCGATTCGCCGTACAGGTTCGATCATTATTTCCAACGGTGGCAGAAAAAAAAAAAGGTTTCGATCGTTTCCGATGTGCTAAATGGACGCGACCCTCTCGAAGGAGCCGGGCCTACTTTCATAATTCTTCAGCTTTCCTCGTCCTCTCTCCCTCCCTTCCTCCATGCCGACGTTTCCCCTCCTTGCGAATCCGCCGCGACGAAAGTGGGATTAATGAAAATACAGAAGGTGAACGGGGGCAGGAGAGACGTGCTAAATGCACGTGTATATAACAGGAAAGAGGAGAGAGAGAGGGTTCAGTGGGGTTGATTAATCGTCGCCGGTCAGGTTTCTAGAAAGAGACGTCACTCGCAAGACGGCCTGCGTCTAGCTTTGCCCCGACGTTCTTTGTTTACTTGCACGAAATATCCATTTCGATCTTTTCCATCAACCTTTGTAAAAACATTGCAAAACCCACCCGAATCCCGAAACTTTTCTACAACGAAGCTGAAATATAAAACGAGTCCGTAGAATCTCACGTCAACGCTAAGCTCTACCTGTCCGTCTAATTTCTCGAGCCTCTTAAAATTAACGCAATAACTCCTAGATTTTATATAAATCGTGTATCCTCCAATTTGTCTCACAAACAGCACAAATCTATATCTCTGCTTTCTTCGAAACTGTATCTAGAATTTAGGCTAAAGAATAAAACCTTGGTAAGTGTTCCTGAAGTTTTAATAAACTGTTTAAATCACACTAAGTATACTCCGAGTTTCACGCCCTTACATTATCACGAAAGTCACCAAAATCGCCCATAAATAATCTCGAACCCGAGCGGCCTAGTTCCAGCCTGAAATATTCATTCCTCCCTTCGTGATATCATTAAATCCCACTTATCAATTTAGCCAATTTTATCAGTCGATCTCGCGACGCGTTCGCTTGCCCTGGGGGGGTTGCGAGTCACCGATAGGCCGTGGCCGGATCTCGACGAGGTCCTAGAAAGGGGGTGGGGGTAGCGACGAACACATGGCGGGCATTGTGCGAGGTCGGGCGCAAGGGGAGCCAATATGGGTTCTGTGTCAATAGCGTTAATAGTGGGAGGGGATTGCGGCACAGATCGCAAAAGCGGGCTCCGGCGGTGTAACGGGGGTGGCCTTAACTCTGAATCAAAGGGCAGCTGATAGAATATAGCGAGAGCCGCTCCCCCTGCGGTAGCCACGGGAGGCGCTACAAGAGGAGAGAGAACCCTGGGTCCGAGGGGCTAAAACCGACCCCCTCCACCTCCGCCCCGTAGCAGACTCCTCTGTCCGCGTTGGTAACGGCAATAAACCGGTGAAAGTTTCGCCGGGGTGCCCCTTTTTGGCACGCGTGGAACCCCCTGTGTACCCGTGGACGGTCGAAATCGTCACGGGGACAGGAATCGTTTCATTTCATTGTAAGTCGGCTTCGGTGCCTGGCAAGAGGGTCCTCTCTCCGCTGTCGTTACCCGGAAAACTCGGTGCTTATACTTTGCCTGGATAGTGCTTACCTTGGATAGTGGTGAAACGGAGTGTGTTACTCGATGTGACAGTTTGCGTCTATCTGGATGTGTAACAGTGTTTCTACTTAGTGATCGAATCAGTGTACTTTTATAACTGTGTGATCTTGAGCTCTTCGTTGACCACGTGCGTTCTTATTCGACTCTTGTAGCTACCCATGGACAAGCCTTCGTAGTGACCAAGTTCAGATCGCATAAATATTCGTTGGATTGATTCTCTAGTGCGTTCAAACTCAGTGCAAAATGACGAGCTCCGCGTATTACGCTAACAACGAGACCGATTACTGGCCTTATCCGTCACCGATCGTCGATCGATCCACAGACCAGGTTATGTACCCCGATAGCGTCTATCATTCCGCGCATCAGCAGCTGCACACCAGCACGGATTACAGTCAGAGATCTAGCCAGAATCATTCGCCCCCGTCGAGCCTCTTGGAGACCCTTCTTCGTCACGGGAAGGAGGCGATCGGCGAAGGTTACGCCAGCTCCGCTGGAAAACCGGTGACGCCGCCAGGTGGACAGTCAGTGCCGCATATCTCGTGTCAAACACCACCGTACACGCCAACGTCTTCGACGGACAGAACGTCCCCGGTCGCTGGATTCCTGGCAGATGTTCCGGATCGCGGGCAGCAGCAACCGGAAACGCGGAACGGTTACATGCAGGGCTATCAAGGTTACCCGGCCCAGCCGCATTCCAGCGGCTGTGCGACACCTTCGATGATGACGCCCAGCTCGCCCGATTACGGTGTGCAACAGGGATACCCTAGATATGCGAATAATAATAACAACGGGAAGCAAAGCCCTGGAGAGGTGAACGAGTTCGCGGACGAGGGACAGCGGCAAGTGGACTACCCCTGGATGAAGTCCTCGCACTCTAATGGTTTGTAGGCTTGAATGTTTATTCAATTAAGTTGAAATCGTTTTGGAGCAGTGTACTCGAGAACGACGGCAAATATTTAAGGAATTCTTACTCCTTGATTATTGAGAATTTGGGAATTAATCGGTCCATTGGAAGATGTTCAGAAAAGAATTGTGTGGAATATTGAAATCTTGAATCATTGACAGAAGGGTAGTAGCGTAGTTCTTGGTCTTTCCGTCGTAGAACTAGCGAAGAATTTAGATTAGAAGTAAAAGAAAAACTTGATTAATTCTCACTACAGTGAGAAGCGAATTATTTCGTAGTATTTCTATCGATTAGAAGGAAAGCAACTACTGCCAGGACGTTTTAAAAACGCAGATTAATATATGTACTTTTTCCTTGAAATCTTGACCTCGACCTTACACGTCTATTCCGTTTCAGGCGACGCGAATGGGAGCGGTCACAAGCGAACCCGGCAGACCTACACACGCTTCCAGACCCTCGAGCTGGAGAAAGAATTCCATTTTAATCGATACCTCACCAGAAGACGGCGCATCGAGATCGCCCAGGCCCTCTGTCTGACCGAGCGTCAGATCAAGATCTGGTTCCAGAATCGTCGTATGAAGGCCAAGAAGGACGGGAAATTGGGCTACAATGGCACGGAGAACGGCGAGGATGTTGTTTCGACTAGTCAAAACGGATCGCCGTTGGATGGACAATTTGTTAGCGGTACGACGACCACACCGACGACGACGATGCAAGTTGGACAATCGGTGACACCTGGTCAACCGATTTCCGGCATACAGGAGTACCATCGTCTTCACGAGGCCTATCTCCATTATCGGCATCAGCAACAGCCCGTGTACGACGGTCATAATTACTTCCAGAAGGAAAGTTATGCGGCCCATATGACGAAATTGGAGCACCACGGCGAATCGTGAATGCTTCCAGTGGGGTATTTCCATTTGTTTGGCATTGATCTTATACTGTTGTAAATAATTTTCTCTTCTAAGGTTGGTCTATAGACTGTGGAAGACTGGTTAGTTTAATAACGCAGTTGCAATTTACGGTATTTAATGTTCAAATACCTGCAAGAAAACATTTAAGCGATTGACACTTGCTATTGGCGAGTTTAACCCCCAGACACCACACTAGGGCGAATTTGCAACGGCGAAACATTGTTTCGTATGTAATGTTCTATCTGACTGACATAACTGTATTAAATTTTTATTGTGAAAGATTGTTTCTTCCTTTTACAATTATTAACATTGAATTTCTCAAATTTTACCCTGACAAATATATTATGAGTTCACTTTGCTTTTATTCTCTTCCAGTTCTTAATCAATAAAAATTCAAAATTCCAAGTTCCATTAATGTGGTGATTATGTATGTTGGGTGGGGTGTGGTTTCTGAGGGTTAAAGTGTACTTATAAATGAGAGTCACTTTCAGTAACAGAAATCTAATGCTACAGATATACTGAAAGTAGAAATATTTAATGATTATAATTATTATTATAAAAAACGAGAAATATTTCAAGATTATGATTATTATTTTGCATTTATACTACAATTGCAGGGGGTTACGTTATGGAAGTGACTCTCAGTTATATATTTGAAGACACATAATAGCAAGACTTTATATACCTCATAGTCCGTCGAAGTGTTATGGATTAATATAATTTTGAAAGACATCTCTAAGCCATTCCCGACGTATAATCGCGCTACTCTGTTCGTGGAACGTGATTTATACAAAGCAGTGGATAGAATTTTTCGACCATTTGCTGGAGACTTGCTTCTGTATTTTCAAGGGAGACAAAATAGGACAGTGATGAGCGAGTGAGAGGGAACGAAAGCCTGATGATGTCGTGGGAATGGCGATGCCATTAGAAGGGAATCGTCGAAACGATTAATTGCACGAAATCAGTCGCGAAAGTGTTATGAATTAATCACGATAATTCCGAACGCATCTGCACTGCCGACCAAACGTTTGAAATTAACGTTTGATTTAATATTTCTTTGTTTCTACCTAAATCAGAGTCCCAATTTAATAATCACATTTTTTGTTCACAATTCTCCATAAGTTTCTATTAATTAAAATAAATAAATTGGCAGTATTAGGGACACTTGCAGTAATTGGTACATTTACCCTATTAATAATTATTGATTTCTGAATTACACATTAAAATGTATTTCAAATTCGATCACATGGAGGAAGAATGGTATTACTAAACGTTCACCAAAATGTAATCAATTCTAGTTACACACAAAAGTTCATGATACTCGGTCTAAACTGTTTCTAAAAATATTAAGTTTGTTTCAACAAAACATTCATCATGCTATGTGATTTTATCGACAAGCGATTTCAAACCTCTGCCCGGCAGTGTATACCCCAACCGTTACCCAGCAGTTCAATCTAAGATAAATTCATTCGTCGACGCAAAGATCCATGAAACTAGTCAACGTTATTCCACGGAATCACCTCGAACGACGGGTAAATAGCAATAAAACGTTAAAGAGAGGCCTCGGAGTCAGCCACCGAACAATCCGTTTCGCGAGCGAACGGCCTCGAGCCGTGAATGTCGATCGATAAGTAATCCGAAGAAAGGAAATTACGAAGAGCGCACGACAAAGTTCGACCTTTACGGTGGTGGATCGTGAGCAGAGTAGAATGCCGTTCGGGGCAAGATCGGGCCAGCTGACCCTGCGAACTGCCTATGATTTATGGACGAACCACCAGCGAAACAACCGAGCATCCTGTAGCTCAGGTATCCAGAAACTGAGCGCGCGCGCGCGCGGCTGTTCACGCCGCATTTCGCCTCGGCACGGTCTCTCGAACCGCCGCTCGATCGGTTCGTGTTACAACACCGTCAGGAAAGAGAGAGAGAGGGTCACTCCTCCGCCTTCGAGTACTGCAAACGTCATTTCGAAAATATTTTGACGGGAGCGCGAAAATTCATACTCGACTGATTAATGACACTGACTCAGCGTCGCGCGCGATCGACCATGCCGCTTCCGTTTTCGTTACGCCTTTCGGAACGGTTTCGGGAAGCATGAACGCTTTGATGGAATTTTCGGGCGCCACTTTGAACCCTGTTTTGACCGAAATCGTTACGGTATGACGGCGATAGTCACTTTGAACGAAGTTTAAGAGGTTCGTAGGTTCTTCATGTGACTCGTGACGATTTTGAGCTGGAGGTTTCTGAACTATAAATTCGTTCTCTGTAAATTTCGAAATCAATTTCACCGTGCTTCTTGTCACAGTTCATGTTGTTTCTGAAATTCTTCATTAACCATCGATCACGGAAAAATTCGTGTTTCCTTGGGGGTATGTTATTAGATATTACTTTCATGTTTTTTTTTAATGTTTAATTGTGTAGTGTTTTCGATTGAAGTTTCATATGAAAAAATCTAGTACATTTGGTATTACAATTTTTGAAAAGAGAAAGTTGGAACGGCGCGAAATGTGTCGGTCTGGACGCTCCTTTTTGAACCACACAGAAAGCAATGGGTAGTGTTCAGGAGGGCAAACAGAAGGTTTATTGCTAGAAGAAGCTCAAATCTCTCGTTACGAGTCAGAATGGTGAATTTGTTTGTACGGTTGTAAGAAACAGTGAAAGTCTTCAGTGACAAAAAGTATGGACTTTCCAGTAGGGAACTTGGAAGACTCTTCTCATGTACTGAATCTCTGAATCTCTACAATTTTTGTTTTATTTAAGGACGGCGGTATCGAATATTATCAAGAATGAATATTGAAAATTAAACGTAAAGTAACAGTTCGAAACTCACCGGTACATTGACACGAGTCAACGAACAGGGAGATATTATGGGGAGTTGAAAAGTTAAGGGATAAAGGAGGGAGTGGGGATCGCATGGCAGCTGCGCTGTTCGCAACGAACAAGATGGCCGAAAGCGTTCCTCTTGCGTGCACGGGCGTCCTTACGGTTACTTCTTTAAAACTGTTGCTTTAAGTTTAATTTGCAGTCGAACTTTTTGGTTCACTCTTCGTTCAACCGGTCGAACGTGTGTCGCTACGAATCACGATGATGTGTTCGTTAATTTTGCTCAAGAAAACGTGAAGTGCGTGCTCGTCGATGTTATTGAGTCTTATCGATCATTTGAAGGGTCATTATGAGGGAAAATATATTGCTTTTGTGGAACTTGTGGTCTGAAATTGCCAGCTCGATTTAAGATTTATTTCCGTCGGAAGCGCAATGGTAAATATTTAATTTGTAATCTATTTTTCATATTCTAATGTTGCGCATGTTCCTTGTTGCAATAATTTCTCGAGTAACACGATCTTGCGAACGGCGTGCGTGAACAGTAAAAAATGTTCCTATTAGTTTGTAAACTATTGTAAATAATACGGTTTCTATAACGTCGTAAAAGTGATAAATCAAGTGTCAAATAAACATTAAGCCTGTTTCTATCCTCTAGAGGAGTACGAACTCTTAATTATTGTAACCGTAAAATTATATAGAACACTTTATCATTAACATTAATTTATTTATTAAGAGCATAGAGTAACTAGACGAAAATTTGTGAATATTTTTTTAACTATACTTTAAGTGGAATACTAGTCGGTTTAAATTAAGTCCTACAAAAGTACATAATTTCATAGCAATATATATTTTACTGTAAAAATAAATTATTCTAAAAGCGTTACTGTTCGTTACTTCATAGAAAACGTAATTTATCAATTCTAGACTATTCCTTCAACTACAATCACAAAAGCCTTACAACATATTTACATTCAATTTTTCTGTACTCACATCTTTACCTTCATTGCAATCATTCTAGTGCCTAATGAGGTGACACAATATTCAAAGTTATAGAATATTTTTCTACATACACATCAAACATCTTATTAATTCTTGCTAAAAACAATCACCCATCAGGTGAAAGTTACTCATGAAACTAGACGGGCCTGATGGCGTTAATTAAAATCGCAAAACCAAAGAGAACATACCCAAGAAATATTCTCCCCTCCACTACGAAAACGTACAAATCAGACTTCCCCATTTAGTTCTTATGTTTTCACTCTAACAATTCGAACGCTCCCCGCAAAATTAATTTAGACCGCCCGCGAAGCCTCGGCACCATCAACGTGGGTTCCCGCGCGCAAGCCCACGAAAACGGTTCAAGCAAACGAGGCCGCTAAATCGCGAATCGTGTCGTCGTTATCAGCCGATCACGGTGCACCAATGACGATCGATAAAACATTTTAATGGGGGGTAGCCGCGGTTGCTGGTCGCGTTATCGTGTGGATTCCTCGATGCTTAGGTGCTGCTGTTCGTCGACTCTTTAAATATAGTCTCCGCGGTCTTTCTTATGCAAACACCGGGATCCATGGCGGCGGAGATGTGCCATTTGCGAAATGGTCACGGGGGCTCTCCGAGAACGACGGCGGCGAGAGTGAACCTTCGGTTTCCAGGGGGTTGGACGAAGAGGGCGAGGGTCGATATTGTGCTTGACAGATAGTTTCCCATAGCTCCGGCAATCCATCATGGCCGGCACGCGGATACGTATTGGTTTTTCTGCAACGCGTCTTAGCTGTGAACCTCGAATTGAATATATACTTTTTTTTCTACTCTCCTCTCCTCTCGGGCCTCTGCCAGTCCCGGGTAACCCGCGCGGAATTTATCAGCTACCCCGCGCGCTGCCCCTTCGACGAATAGTTTATACTTCGTTTTTTTGGGGGAGGAAATTCCTCTTGACTCGAATGTTTTGAGTCGACAATGAGGGTAAGTACTGCTGGAGGGAAAATTGAGTATGTGGTAACTGAAGTTAGTGATGTATTGTATGTAGCGTAGCGCCGCCTACACGTAGCATTAGTAAATAGATATTCAGCTATTAGTACCTACTTTTCTACTCATGGCGTTAGGAATAATTATACTTCTATCCATAAAGTAATGTTAACATTGTTTATTTTCCTTTATATTTT